CCCCTCCATCCATCTTTGCAATCTAGCCTATCAGGAGCTTGGGGCCGCCAACCCTCACAGGGCCTTTCCTTCTTAATCTTCTCACAACTCACAGCCTCATTGTGGACTTTCCACCTCTTGGACAGTTTATTGGCCTCTTGGACTCTTTGCTTCTTGCCGAACATGATCTTGTGGGGAAGGTACTTCTCCCTCTTCATGATCCTCCTGATGGCCAACCGCTCGCCACCACTCTCCTCGTCCTGGGCCAGTCACTGCTTATCCTCCAGGTTCCCCGTGCCTCCATCACCCTGGGCTTCTTTCCTTCCACCCTCTGCTCCTCCAGGGCTGCCAGGCAGGTCTCCTCCGCCTGTCTTCCCCCTTCCTCCTCTTCACTTTCATGGCCATCTCCTCCTCTTCAGATTCATTCAGGTTTCCAGGATCCTCCTCTTGGCACAGGGCCAGCAGCTTCAGCTTCCCAGGTGGGATGTAATCGCCCTCCTTCTCAGACAAAAACTGTAAGAAGTGTGGGGGCAGCGGCACCTGCAGGAGGTAACTCTCTGTGGGGAGAAGGAGCCAGGCATTCACAGAATCAGTCACTGGGACTGTATATAGCACCTGCCGGATGACAGGGGTCGGTGGCCCGGGGCCTGTCCAGACTACTGATGTTGGAATTCGTGATGTTCTAAGTAGCCCCGATGCACAGAGACTTGTCTCAGGCGACAGGTCCCTTCCCCCCAAAACTCCTGATGATGAAGGCCAGGGCCTTACGAGACATCTCTAAGTTCAAGATCTTCATGCCCTCAAAGAGCTTCTTGTGCTTCTCCTGTGCCTCCAGCTCCCTCCTGAGGTCCTCTCTTCACTCGCTACTGACCCCACTATGGACAAAACTTGTCCACCTCAGGCTCCTATTCAGTGGCCAGGACCACCATCCGAGCCAGGCTGGCACTGAGAGGCCAGCTTCTCCATGATAAACACATTGTAAAAGGGTATAAAGTAATGGGTAGCATTCGTGGTATGAGCACTTGAAAGTACATCCTAAACTTTTACAGATGAAAATAAAACTAAACTGCCAAATTACTTGCATGAATCTGTCTTCTGCCATCATGCTTGGGAAGTGATGAAGCAAGCACAGCTCTTAAGATCTAGCTTGGGATTCTAATTCCACCTCTTATGAGTTGTGTCACCGCATCAACCACTTCACAGTGTATTAGACAATATAATGTGTATATTAAGTTCTCTGCACATAGCAATAGCTAAGTCATTCAAAGGAACAAGAAAAAGCCTGCATCCCCAGGTAGCCTCCTAGTTCTTGATAAGTAATTCTCACAGGACTACATGTTAGGTAGCTAGCTTAGAGACCAGGGGATTGTCCCTCCCATGCCAGCAAGGGCCCCCATAGAGGAGGCTGGAAAGAAATCAGGCAACCACTGAACACCTAAGAAGACCCCAAACTGAGCGTGCACAGACACAAGCCCCCTAGGCCCAGGTACAACCAATATCTTGGACACACTCACCTTAGGTACATCACACAGGTGGGCCTAACTCAGCCAAATGATGTCAACCAATACCATCAACCATGCCTCCCCAGAGGTTTGAAATATCCTGGTTGTGCGAAGGCCTCACTATGTTACCCTGCTCCTGGTCAGAGGCAGGTAGAGGGGGAGGGTCTCCCTCCCCTGCTCTGGCCCACATGCACCTGCTCTGGGTCAGCTCAGGGCCCACAGCCTCTTAACCTCTAGGGTTCTTGGTTTCTAGATTCCTGGCATTCCACACACACACACCCAGTTCCCCACGTGTGGGTGCTCTTTTCCATGTGGTTGTTTGTGCCCAGTGGTGAACCCCGGCACAGCTTCCACCCACACAGCTTGGTCCACTTTCCAGAAATAGCATGTACCCTTTTGAAACTGTAAAACCTGAAACTTGTCCTGTCCTTCATAAAAACTCACTATTTGGTGTGAATTCTTTCAGCGTGCAAAACAAAGACCCATGGTACAATCCACTCCAGAAACCTAACATACCCTTTTGTAATCATACAAAACTGCCACACACAAAAAAGATCAGCTGCCACCGAGCCACTACCAACTCAAGGCATGCTCCTCCTGTGCATCAGAGTAAAACAGTGCACTAAAGGCTTTCCATGGCCGATTTCAACTTGACAATGTAATTTTATTAAAAGAGATTCAATCAACTTCTCAATACAATTTAGGGATAAGGATAAAGATCTTTAAGTTACTCAGAGATAAACACGTCAAATTTAGATCTATTAAAGTATGACCTCTAATTACCACCAACGGAAGCGGGCAGTTAAGGCAGCCCGAATACCACCAAAGGAATGTGCTCAATCCAGTCAACACCCCTATGCACAACACTCAACCTTCCAGCTACAGCTATGGCGTCCTCTTTTTTTTAAGTCTATCAACATACAGCATAAGGGAGATAAATGTACTATATATCGATAGGAAAAAGTTACATTGACAAGTCTTTCTTCTGATTACTAGAATTACTGCTCTTAATAGAAAAAAATTGTCAGATTTTAACTCCTTTGTGCAGTTTTTTGTTTTTTTTTTAAACTGCAGGTCCTTGAAAAATGGCAACTTTGAATACCAACATCTGGAATTCTATGACAAGAGCAGGATTCTTGCATTTTCCAAAATAAAGCCATGCTTGCGAAAACAAAAAAATTCAAATTGCTATCTTAATGCTTAATATGTTACCTAACCACACAGAATGGAAGACCAAATTTCATTGTAAGTGATTTACCAAATAAACCACTTTCTTACTTAAAATGTTAACATTATTATGAAGTCCTAGGTACCGGTATTTGTTAACTTCATATACCTTATGCCACTGAGACCACAGTCTGCATTTAAGGACATCCTAATTGAACATCCCTTCCCAGAAGGGTCCCAAGGAAGGGAAGACCCAGCCAGGGTGTAGTACAGCACCGAAGAAACACACAACATTCTTCTACTTATTCAATGCTTCCGCTCCCCCCACTATCATGACCCCAGTTCTGTCTTACAAATCTGGCTAGAGCAGAGCACGTACACTGGTACAGAGAAGAGCTCTCGATACGCAAAATCCAGGACAGATAAGCCCCTCAGGACCAATAAGGAGAGTAGCAATACCATGAGGGAAGGATGAGAAAGGATCAATTGCAATGATTGACATACAACCCCCTGCCCAAGGGGATGAACAGGAACATGGCCAAAGGGAGACAACAGATAGTATAAAATATGAAAATTAAAATAATGTATAAATTATCAAGGGTTCACAAGGGTGGCAGGGCAGGGGTAAAAAGAGGAACTGATACTATGGGCTCAAGTAAAAGGAAAATGTTTTGAAAATGATGATGGCAACATATGTACAAATGTCCTTGATAAAAGCTGTGAGAACACCCTACAAAATGATTTTTTAAAGTTAAAAAAAAGAACATCCTGACTTCAATCAGATTGAGATAATACATATTTGTTTATAAATGTCTTAAGAAGTAGCCATGTCACAATCGCTGAAGACAAAGCGGGTACATAAGCAAATGTGGTGAAGAAAGCTGATGCCTGGCTATCAAAAGATATAGCGCCTAGGGTTTTAAAAGCTTGAAGGTAAACAAGTGGCATCTAGCTCAGAAGCAACAAAGCCCACATGGAAGATGCGCACCAGCCTGTGTGATCATGAGGTGTCAAGGGATCAGGTATCAGGCAGCATCAAAACAAAAATCATATCATTGTGAATGAGGGGGCCAAAGCCCATCTGTAGGCAATTGGTTATCTCCTTATGGAAGGGTCTTGGGCAGGAGATGAGCCAGTCAGGGTGCAGTGTAGCAACAATGAAACATACAACTTTCGTCTAGTTCCTAAATGCTTCCTTTCCCCCCTCCCCCCACCCCCATCATGATCCCAATTCTACCTTACAAATCTGGCTAGACCAGAGGATGTACACTGGTACAGATAGGAACTGGAAACACAGGGAATCCAGGACAGATGATCCCTTCATGACCAGTGCTGAGAGAGGCGATACCAGGAGGGTGGAGACAGAGGGTGGGGTGGAAAGGGGGAACCAATTACAAGGATCTGTATATAACCTCCTCCCTGGGGGACAGACAACAGAAAAGTGGGTGAAGTGAGACGTCAGACAGTGCAAGATATGACAAAATAACAATTTATAAATTATCAAGGGTACATGAGAGTGGGGAGGAGGGAGGGAGGGGAAAAACTGAGGAGCTGATGCCAGGGGCTTAAGTGGAGAGCAAATATTTTGAGAATGATGAGGACAATGAATGTACGAATGTGCTTTACACAAATGATGTATGTATGGATTGTGTTAAGAGTTATATGAGCCCTTTTAAAATAATTTTTTTAATTTAAAAAAATAGAAGTAGCCGTTACCCAAAATGATTTTTTTAAATTTTCCTAAAATTAATTTTTAAAAATTTTTCCTAAAACACACATTCCCATAACTTTTTCTAAAGCTACTAACTCAAATTCTGCTGATCCTGAGCCTCTAATTATAAAAGTGGCCATACAACAGAAATCTCCAATTTCTAGTACCCAGTATGGTATTGCAGATAGTAACTGCTTGTGAAATAAATGACAGGGACGTCACTGAAAGTATCACCCAATTTCATTTAAGTTAGGTAGGCAGTCTACCCAGAGGTCCCTCAGAACAAAGGTCCAATGAGAGATTTTTTTTTTTAAGTCAGCCATCAAAAACCCTAGAGTTTTATTGTCTTTTCACCTCAATAAAAATGTTTTTTTAAAAAAAACAAAACCCTAGTTCTATTCTGACACAGCAGGTGGGTGGGTCTAGGTAATAAGTTGGAATTCAAACCAAAGAGGCCTGGTGGTAATGCCAGGAAAGTGTCGGGTTACTAACCACAAGACTGATGGTCAACACCCACCAAGGGCCCTTAAACAGAGTTGTTCCTGTGAGGACTTCCTGTCTCTAAAACCCTATTCAGGGTCCCTAGGCGTCAACATCAACCTAACAAACGGCAGTGGGTTTGCTTGACTGGTCATACTTACAGGGATGCTCCAGACCTGCATGCCATCACTGTAGCCGATCATAACCAGCAGAGGCGGCTCACTCCCCGTGCTGTGTATTTCATGAAATTCCAGATTTCTGGATGTATCTGCATTGAGAATTCAGTCATAACAAAGAGGCAAATTACAAAGATACAATGTCAATAAGAAAAAAATTCATTTCCTTAGTGTCAGTAGTGTTAACAATGACTTTGTTTTTTCAATAAAGAGCAAGAGCACAGTTAAGTGGAAAACATCATGTAAAAGAAAGCCAACAGGAAGGTAAATTATAAACCCAGAAGATTTTTTGTTTTTGTTTCTTCACTGTGTCTATAATTATCAGCACAAGTAAGGCTTTCAAAAGTCAAATTCACACTAGTGAAGAAACAAATATAAATATCAGAACATTACCTATAAAATGAAAATGAAATATTTTGCTAATATTAAATGTAAACACGATAAATGCATGTTGTTTTAATATTTTTAAATTAGCAACGAAAGATTATGTTCCTTTATATACAAAAATTAGATCCTGATAAGGCTGAAGACACTTGGATAGGACCCACAACAAAAGAACTGGTGGTACTTTATCATCAACTTTTCCAGTGCTTATCAATGAATATTAAACTAATAGTTATCATGGGCATCCTTACCGAACACAATGTCCACCTCAAAAATGACTAACTCAAGTCACTGTTTTTGAATCACAATCTCATCTTCCAGCAAGCTTGCTCAAATCCTCCATGTGTTTCATTCCATTAGGTCCAATGACACCTTCAACCTTCTCCTCTATCCTTTAAATCTGGTGGATTCTGACTCATGGAATTGTGTTCCAGAGTTTGCAAAGCTGTTACTTTTTGGAAATATGTGTCCAGGCCTTTCTTTTGAGGCACCCGTGGGTGCATTCGAATCACAAACCTCTTGTTTGGTAGTTGAACACTTAACTGTTTGTGCTGTGCAAGGGCCGTTCTCTCATTTTAGTTCCATCTTAGATTTATTCTCTTCTCATCTGCTAATAAATTATTCTCTTTCTTATCATGCGGTCTTTGCATGGCACCCCACTAACAAAATCTGGCTCCTAGAAGATTCCAGCTACCCACTTTTTCCTTGTTATGTTCTAGGGCAACCCACTATTGGAAGAAAAACTTTTCAATCACACAGCAAGATGGAATTTGTACACTACAATTTAGTTATTTCACCTGCACCATCTCAAGGGCTTGGCCCCCTCAAAACTACATGACCAATTTACTCTGCTTTCTGGATCTTATTCTACAATTTCTTCAGTAACTTCTTTAAACCTTCCCCAACTTTCCAATCTAAGCCCTGCCCACACCAATCCCTCCGATGTAAGCAAATAAATCTTAGGGAGATTTCTAGGCAAACAATAAACTTCCTGTTGTCTTCCTGCATCTGTACCACCTTCATTCAAATCATTTCATCCTATTTCAAGCACCTATCTACCCTTCAGTCCAACGCAGATTCTCCCTCCTGGACTTTAGATTCTATCATCTTTTGCCTTCTTAGGAGCCTTTTCCTAGTCACTCATTCCCTATGTCTTCAGCTACTTCCAGTCAGCACATAAAAATGCACAAGTGCCTTCTACCTTAAAAAATAGTTAAAGAAATCGGCACTGGGGGATTCCTTCAGATCTAAATGACAAATCTCTGAAAGATAATATAGAAAAGTATATTCATTATCTCAGTATATTCATTTTCAACAAGTTGAAAATATGCCCAAAAAACATTCAGTCTAAGAGATGGGCACATCCTATTACGTTATTTGTTACATCAAAGGGAAGAACTTCGGTTAATCATGAGTCCCTTTTACTAGCCCAAGGAAAAGGCATGCCAGAGTGGGGGGGTGGGGGTGGGGGGGACTCTCAGCAAGGAATGGCCAAGAGCATAATGAGGTTCTGGAATGATGGCAGAGCAAACAAACAATGGCTACAACCCAGACCCACAAACACAGCAAGGAAATGGTGCTCAGCCTTGAAGGGAACTGCAGGTAGGCAAGAATGGACAAGTTGCCTATGACAGGAAAATCACTTATCCCACCATCCTCACCCTCTCCAGCTAGTCAGGCTACTATGAACTGGGGTAGTGGACTAGAAAAAGAGTTCGCTTCCCTAACCACCACATCTCCTACCTATACAAAACAACATGATCCCAAGTTTCTGCCCTAAAATTAACAAGGCCATCGTGTGGTGGGGTTAGGCAGGAGAGAGATCCATCTGTGTCAACAGCTCTCACTGCTAGCTCCAAGCCTACTGCAAAGAGCTGACGAAGGCCTGCTTGTACAATGGAATTGCTTCCACAGTAAACACTACATTGTCCCCTCCTTACTATCTGCTGGTAACTTCTAAGCATACACTGGAATATTCAATAGTTTCTCAGTATAGCTTCTCGGATGTCTCAACAGAAGCTCAAATTCAATCCAAAGGTCAAGGGTTCCCTATCTCAATGGTGTCATTATCAATCCAGTTGACAAACCTCAAAAACATCTTCCTCTCAATGAACAGCAAATGTATCAAACATTGCACGTTTCTAAACAGCTCTCAACTCTTCCTAAACCAACATCCCAACTGTCCCGATTATAACACCTTTACCCCCAGAGCATTACTGGATTCCTACATTCAACACAGCTCCCAGAAGTTTAAGTTTCACATTGCAGCCAGAGCTCTTGTAATTAAAAAACAAAACACAGTCTAATAATGACATAGCGTCTCGCCTCTTTCCCCCATGTATTGTTTCAAGATAAAGACCAAAGTCTTCAACAGAGCATCGGTAATTTTTTAACATCTATTTTCTGAGCATATCATCAGAGAAGGTGAATTACATTAAGGAGAATGTGGTATCAGGACTGGAGGAGGCTTATTAACAACCTGTGGTAGGCAGAGGACACGACCTTGTTGCTGACAGTGAAGAGGACTTATAGCGCTTGCTGATGAAGATCAAGGATTGCAGCCTTTGGAAGACCCAGATCCTCACAAGTGGACCAATAGGCAACATATGATAAGTGAAGAAAAGGTGGAAGATGTCAAGGATTTTATCTTGCTTGGATCCACAATCAATGCTCATAGAAGTATCAGTCAAAAAAAAAAAGAAGTATCAGTCAAGAGATCAAATGACATATTGCACTAGGTAAATCTACTCCACAAGACCTCTTTAAAGTATTGAAGAGCAAGATGTTACTTTGAGGACTAAAGTGTGCTCAACCCAAGCCATGGTATTCTCCATTGCCTCATATGCATGTGAAAGTTGGACACTGAATAAGGAAGACTCTAGAAGAATCGATGCATTTGAATCATGGTGCTAGAGAAGAATATTGAAGGCACCAGGGACTACTAAAAGGACAAATCGATCTTGCATTGGAAGAATTAAGGCCAGAGTGCTCCTCAGAGACAAGAATGACGAGACAATAGTGAGGATGGCACAGCACTGTGCAGTATGTCACTCTGTTGTGAACAGGGTCATTATGGGTTGGAGTCGACTTAATGGGACCTAACAATAAAACCATTTTCTTTTGGGACCCCTGATGGCATAGGTTGAGGCACTTAGCTGCTCCGGGGCAGCTAATGACTTAATATGGCTCTTCTAGCCAAACTCTCTAACTCCCACCAAATCCTCTGGCACTGAGATCCACACACAGTAAACCTCCTGGAGCTAGATGGCAGCTATATCACCAGAGGAGCAGCAGCAGCAGAATCAGGAGCCAGAGCATGGAACAGTGATGGACTTCCCAACCCATGGAGCAAGTTAAGATCCGTGTGTTTGTGCAGGAGGCTGGCTTGTGGAGTGGGGTACCTCCGGGCCCTTAGTGGGGGAAGCTGGACTTGCTGACCCATGGAAGTGGAGCTGAGTGCCTTCAGGCTGGAGCTTACTGTAGTGGAGTGCCTCTGGGCACTAATTCAGGGATCTCGGGCCGCTGACCCACAAAGTTTGCGCTGAATGCCTTCAGGGTGCAGCTTACAGTAGAGTGATATACCCCACTGGACATCTATTAGCAGACCTGAAACTTTGTAACACATCTGATGAACATTTCTCACTGGCATTACAACTTGTTAACCTTCTTAATAAGCCCTTTGACCAAGAATTTTTTCTGTGAGTTTCTGTATAGCCATTACAGTGGACATTAGAACCCAAAGTAAAATTGGGACTGTTAATTAAGACAACTCAGCTGCTCATCTGCCATTCCCCAGGAAAAGATGTGGCAGTCTGCTTCCATAAGGATCTACAGCCTTGAAAACCGTAGGGGGTAGTTATCTGTCCTACAGTCGCTGTAAGCTGCAATAAACAGCGGTGGGTTTGCTTTTGGTAAATTCTTTTGATAGGTTGCTGCTGCTATTGTTGTTGGGTGCCATTGACTGGTTCTGACCCATAGTGACCCAGTGCACAACACAAGGCACACTGCCTGGTTCTGCGCCATCCTCGATCTGTTCTCATGCCTGAGCCCATCATGCCGCCACCGTGTCAATCCACCTCGCTGAGGGCCTTCCTCTCTTCCGCTGCTCTCCTAGCAAGGTGATGCCCTTCTCCAGGGACTGGTTCCTCCTGACAACATGCATCAAGTACTCACTGGGATAAAGTTAATGACATGTGAGTTCATAGCCATTAAAATTCAGAATTATGAAACTGGGTCTAATTTGTATTACACCTTATAAAGAAATCACCTGTTTTGTATACATCATCTCATCTGACACAAAGAAGTCCATTTATATGCAGAGTAGGGGTTAACTTCATTTCATCACTGACAAAAACAAGTTAGATATAATTTACTGAAAGCTGAATGACAAATCTTAGGACTCTGGATGCTCAATTTGGTTATCTTTCTACTATGACCACATTATTGATTAGAAGTTATTACTTTTGGAAGGCCTCAAATGACACACATAAAACCATTATACAAACAAAATCTCCTTTTCTTCTCCCCCCCTACTTCCCCCAACAATAGGGTTTATTAGGGAACTTAACAGGCTAAAATTCAAGATCAGAAATACTCAGGACACAGTTCTGAGAATCAGTCATGTCCACAGGCACACCTCTCTTGGGCCCTTTATCTCTAGAAAGCAAAATCTCCTTTTACTTATTTTAAATTCTGCTCAGGTACTTTGTTGTGTTACTATTCTCCTTCTGGATCGTGGTACAGCAGACTTCTTCAATAAAACTACAAATTCTATAAAAAACGTGTTTTCACCATCAGAACTATTATAGGGTAAGTAATCCTTACTCTGTGACTTTCATCTTTTTATCCTCTCTACTACCACCACTGGCTCTGCATCCTGACTTTATCTCCTTTATGGGACTCATTAATCTTGTTCCACCCCAAAATAGGAACCCTACAGTCTTTTCTATCAAGACATCTACCACTTGATGAAAGCAGATGGTGCCTGGGGTCTCAAAGGTTCGAAGTTAAACAAGTGGCCATCTAGCAGAGAAGCAACAAGCCCACATGGAAGAAGCACACCAGCCTGTGCGATCATGAAGTATCAACACGATCGGGTAACTGGCATCAGAAGACCCCAAACAAACAAATACCATATTGCTGAAAATGAGGGGGTTCAGAGGAGAGACCCAAAACCCATCTGTAGACAATGAGGCATCGCCTCAGAGAAGGGTCACAAGGAAGGGATGAGTCAACCAGGGTGACACATATCAATGAAACACACAATATTTCTCTGAGTCTTTGAGGCTTCCTCACCCCCCACTATCTTGACCCCAGTCCTGCCTTTCACTTCGGCTAGACTGGAGCATGTGAACAGGTACAGATAAGATATAAGAGCTCAGGACACAAGGAATACAGGAACAGGAATGGGTGTAGCGATACCAGGAGGGTAGAGGGAGGTAGGGATAAAGAGAGAACCAATCCCAATGATCCACACATAGTCACACACATACGTCCAGGGGGACAAACAACAGAAACTATGGAGGAAGGGAGACAGCGGTCAGCCTAAGATATGAAAATAATTTATAATTTATCAAGGGGTCGCAAAGGGGGGAGGGGGAAAACAGGCAACATATATACAAAAATGCTTGATGCAATGATGTAGGAATTGTTAAAAGAGCTATAAGAGTCCCCAATAAAATGATCTTTTAATTAAAAAAAAAACAGGCATCTACCACTCGTGATCTTGGCCATCTAAAGTACTCTTTGATTCACCCATCCTTTAAAGCCTTGTCTAATCTCACCGCTCTGTGAATGCTGCCCGTTGCTATGCGCAGTGCATTCTCTCTCCTTAGGATGCTGCTGCATTTGAGAGGGGGTGTCACTGAGTTTTTATGTTCATGCCTTAAAAATTGAGATGTAAACTGAAACTGAATCCTTCCTCTCAAACCTGCTTCCTCAGTACTGCATGTACTGTATATACTTGGTATAAGTCCAGTTTTTCAGCACATTTTTAATGCAGTTTTTGTAGTAAAATTAGGTGTCTTGGCTGATATTTAGGTAGGTTTATACTCGAGTATATGCGGCACTTATAACAGTAAAACTTCCTGCCAACTCTGTCTAAAATCTTTAAAGTCATTTTCAGTAGATGCCAACTAGGACCAGGAGGATAAAGCAGGAAAACACTTTGTTCAGTGTCCCCTACACAGATCCAGAGGCTTAAATGCCCCCTCCCATCATGACCTATAGCACAACCCTTTCCTGTGACATATGTCTTCACCTGTAATTAGGGGGCTTGCACGTCCCCAGAGAATATAAAAGCCTTGGTTAGCAATAAAAATCTCTCCTTCTCTCTCCACGTGGACCACCAAATGAGGGTGAGGTGAGCATACTACCATGAAAGTGTCTGACTCCATTATTTCACTCTCCCTTCTATCTCTCATGCTCTAACTTTACTATAATCTTTATTTATTATCACTGTACAAGTGTGCCTACTGGGCCTGTGATGATTTGTTAGGGGTTGGTCTACCCTGACACTTCACATACATCCTACCCTTGACTTCTCCCTTTTTGGGTAACTGTCCTTTTTTTTTTTAATCATTTTATTGGGGCTCATACAATTCATCACAATACATAGATCAATTGTGTAAAGCACATTCATACATTTGTTGCCCTCATCATTCTCAAAATTTGCTTTCCTCTTCAGTTCCTGGAATTAGCTCATTTTCCTTCCCCCCCCTCCCCTGGTAACTGTCCTTATAGCCTCCAAGCATAGAGATGGACCGTGTGGACCAATACTACAAGCATTACACATCCTTGGCCATAGTGGACCAGTACTACACGTGTTACACATCCATGGCCAGTGTACCACGTGGACCAGTACTACAAGTATTACACACCCCTGGCCATAGTGACTAGTCCGACCATTAGGAGATGACTCAAACTCAGCCTCCTGTGGCTTCCAATGAGCTCTTCTTCCTCTTTGATTATACAACTTTGAAGGTATGGACAGACAGCTTTTGTACCCACTGTTCCAGCCTCATTAGGATAATCAAAGAACAGCAACACTCAGTGAGACAGTTTATTGTGCCAGCCTGGCTGATAAACGCAGGTGGGATTGACTGAGGGGCGGAGAGATGGATGGCTTGGTGAGCCTTGCCTTTCTT